TATGATCCAGATGAGTTGACAAATCCATCCAGTACACATAGAGGCCAAGATATCACAGTAAATAGAGAGGTCCCATGGCAAGAATATACAATTGTGGGAACCCCAAAATGTAGCCGTATGTGCCAAGTAATATCTGACCATTCAAAGATGATCAAGATCAGTATGATCTTAGAATATCGAGATTGAGGGAAGAGAAATGGGAAAGGGGGAACATTTTCCCTAATGAGATGTCCAAATTTTAAGAAGAAACAAAGTCAAAGAGGCATACATCGTATAAAATTCAGATCTGGAATGGCCACAAGCAAGAAGGAGAAGGAAACAGGTTTTGAGAGAGAGATTATAAAATAAGCATATTGCCAATGGTTCAAACGGGGCCTAGGTGAGTTTGTGTAGAATCAAGAGGTAGTAGTCATTGTCACTTCGAGAATTTATTGTTGTGAAATAAATTTTGCAGATAATTTTTTTTTGTAGTAATTTCAAGGCTGTGCATGTTGAGATAAAATAAAATAAAGTTAACACTACAATAAACGCAGTGTAAATCTCACTACATTAAACTTCAAGAAACACATCCATTCATGATTGTGGTGAGGAAAAGAACAACAATAATTTCGAGTGCAAATGCTTATGGAGATCTATTGGATATTGATGAGGTATTGCCATCCTATTGTTGGAGGGCTACTGTCACATAGTAGCATCATATGTCTTAGGTGAAAGATAGCTCAAAGATAGTGGCATACACAAAATCTCAAAGGCAGACATGCAAGGAATAGTTATTATGTTCAGAGAGCTAAGGATGTTGCTTCATAACAAGCAAATAAACTTTACATTGGTAAAAGCATCTTCTCAGGATCAAATTCTAACAAAACAAGCAAATAAATGTACTCTAGTAATACAATCTTTTACATGATCAAATTCTAACAAAACAAGAAAATAAATGTACACTCGTAAAATAATATTTTACAAAATGACATTCCAAAAAACAGGCAAATAAATGTGGACTAGTAAAATAAACTTTTAATCATTTTCTCTGTAGTAGTAAAAAACTCAAACATCTTCTATGAATAACAGTTATAACATTTTCTGGCAGGTCATTATCAATCTCAATGTATGACAAAAAATAAGGAACTATAAAAATAATCACACATTTTGAAAACTTTCTTTTTCTAAAGTTTTTAGAGAAAACAAATATACATACAGGTCACACTAACTGTAAGACAATATTGACAATCACATATCTTTTTTTTATGATTTGTTTATTGTTGTTTTTATTAATGGGTTTACTTACTATTGGAACTTTAATCAATAAAGACTACAATGATATTCATTACATCCATTACAGTGTAGTATGTCTATTAAGTCTATTACAGTTTATGATATGCATTACAATACTTTTATTCCAATAGCACTAACCCTTTCTGGACCAGAGAAGTGTCAATGATATCTCTCAAATTTTCACTTCTCACCATGGAAATACTTAACAAAATTGTATGAAACTTAGTACAAACTTACAAACTACTATCTTGTTTCAGCTTTAAAAAATTCTTTCTTACAATTTCATTAAAGTTGTAAAATTTTGTTTTGAAATATTGATTTTAGAAAACATTACAGGTACGTCCTTTTGTCTTAGAATTACAATTTTTCTACTGTTGATAAGAAAGTTCCACTTTATATATACTCTGTTAGTTTCAACTTTACTGAAATTAACTATTTTTTGTGATTCTTTATTTTGCTGATCCCAGAAGTAACCATTTCTAGTTGTAACAGGGTTCGTACACCTTAAGTGAGATGAAATTCCAGGACATTTCGAGGACAAATTGTTTTTTTCCAGGACAGAATTATTCGGAAATTTCCGAACAATATATTCATATATTTAAGTGTAAATACATAATAATACATAATACTTTTAAACATTTCACTGTGAAATTTATCATCTGTTATATTTTATTGACGTGACTGACCAAGT